GTAGAATGATCTTTGACAAGATTTCTTACTTCTCTATAGTATGGAGATGTAAGTAATTGTTGTAAATATGGGTTCTAAAATGCAATATTTGCAGATTACATGAACATGAGCAAAGTTTTTGCAAATTGTACATTTCATAAGCCGGTAGTCACAATTAACCCACAAAGCTAGTTTTGAAAATATCACCATTAAACTCACAATCCCTGAAGGAGCATCAAAACCATATAGTATGGCAAGCTCTGGAGCTCTTGAGTAAATCAGCTGGGAGTAAATGCAATTAAAAGTTATTTGAGAGGATCACAACGTGACTATGCAAGTGTAATTATTAAAGGACAGTCAATGAGAATGATATTTAAAACCAGTCAGCCATGGCAGATGGTTGGAGATTTATTTATTCAATACATGTCCCCACAGCTTGAACACGACCTTTACATTTTGCCTTCCAAATATCTAATTCCAACAATTATCAACAGCTTTGATTTTCTCTGACGTGCTTTCTGGCACTAACATATTGAAAGGCAGAATAGAAGAGCTGATGAAGTTTTAGTGCATAATTGGAAATCACACAAATTTCAATTCAACAATATTTGAAGAAATAATGTTGAATTAATAATAGTAATAATCATTGCATTTGATATAGTGCCTTCTAGTTGTCTCAAAGCGCTGCGCAAAATATACTGTAAAGTGAATTGACTGCATATTTTGTTGGCGAATTGAACCACAGTAGAGTTAATTCAGGCAAATTAAGAGATTGTCAGCAAGATCTGGGGATACAAAAGAAAGTCAGATGAAATAATAGAAGTGAGGTGGTAATTGTAGAACTCTGATTTTATAGTAGTTGTGTTACAATAAAAGTCTGGGTGAAACGTACAACAATGAGTGCAAAAGTTATTCTTGGTGAGTGTTGCTTTGTGTCCTTCATACTAACATTATGAATACCGCAATGAATAAAAATGAACAGTTGTAAACCAGCAAATAAAACCTGATCTACTCAAATAACAACAAGTTCACATTCAAAGTTCAAATTCAAGTGTATCTGCTGTTGGGTAAATTGTTTTGATCTCAGGTGCACTCTGAGGTTTGCTTGTATCCCTGTCACAAGCTGGAAATCCTGAAACTTAGTTTTTATTTCTCTGTCGAGGTGGAGGCAAGGAAGCAAACAGAATACTATTAACTTGGATTTGAGCCCATTTTGGATTAGGTTCACTTTTCTCTGACATGAAGAATTCCCACAATAGGTATTGAACACAATGAGGATTTTTCCCTACATCCCTCTGACAGCAAGTGTGCTTCAAGCTCTGTCCGGCTTGAGGGCAACAATCTAATGGCAGAGTCAAAAATGTTGTTTCTTACAGCGCAGTGGCTTTGCAGTATGTGTGAGTGAGTTGCAAACTGGTGCCTACCAAAACAGAGAAGCAGCTCCAGAAGGAGAGAGGGAGAGACAGATCCCTATCATCTTGAAAGTAGACATCTGAGAGGGGATCTTATAATAATAATAATATTAATCCTTGCATTTGATATAGTGACTTCTCACGACTTCTAGACATCTCAAAACATCTGTAAAGTGAGTTGACTGCATATTTTGTGGAAGAAACGCGGCAGCCAATTGTGCACAGCTGTGTCCCACGAACGTCGTTTATGGAGCTATATAAGATTTTAAATGGCGCTGAGAAACTCAAATTAGAATAATACTTTAGGATGCAATGAGACAGCAGAACAGGTTGTAAATGGTAATTCGAGGCCAGATACCAAGAAGTATTTCTCTACCAGAGAATAACTACTAATAATAATCCTTGTGTTTGATATAGCGCCTTATCACGTCTTCGCAACATCTCAAAGCGCTTCACAGGATATACTGTAAAGTGAAATGACTGTGTATGTTGTGGGCAACACGTGGCAGCCAATTGCACACAGCAGTGTCCCACAGTGTCAAGGATTGAGTGACCAAATTATTATTGTAATTAACAACTGAAACAAGTTACTAGGAAGGGTGACCGAGGCCAGGACACTGGATTCATTTTTTTAAAAAAAAATTTCAATATTGTTTGGGTATTCTGGAAGGATGAAATCAAATGGGCAGAAGAGCCTCCTTCATCTAAACCTCTCTTGTGATGACCTCCCCATAGATAAATTGATCCCCAGTCCTAATAGCAATCAGTGCTGTGAATATTCAGACTCTTTAGGCATGATCAGGTTACATGAAAAGCAATGTTGTGTAATGTTTTACTAAGTAGAATGAGTACAAATGAAGCCTGGCCCTTTATCTTGTGTTACTTTCCATTCCACTAGCCAAACAAGACACGTGGGGGGCTGACATTATTGGTACAAAACACTACAAAAAGTCAATGAGTATCTTCTACTGAGAAACAAAGGAATTGCAGTGCAATTACAAACACTGGCTTCCAAACGAAGACAGCATTTAAGAGTTTACCTGTAATTCTACACAAGCTTAAATTTTAAAGACAAAATGGCCTTGTAGGTTAAGACTTGCTGGAATTTCGGCCTTCAACATCAAAGTTTCCTGAGTAAAACGGTATACATTTTTAATTTGCACAATGCAATTGTGTCAATATGCAGCAGGACCAATTTATACTGTTGTGTTAGGACATCCTCCCGACGTGAAAGGCACTTTACAAATGTAATTTTATTGCTGTTGTTAGACATTTCACCACTTTGTGGGCAAAAAAAATCACTTAACTCTAACGCTGTCAGAGGAATGATTAAGGAATGTGATTCCACTTGTACTGTGTCAGGGTCAAAATGTTCAAATTCAAAAAATCGCTGAGGGTTTAATTTCCCAGATGCATGCTGTACATCGTTCCAGTGAGATGATTGAAGCAAAGGTCTTCAGTAAAAAGCAGAAGCTGATTTGTTTCAAGAAAGCAGTTCTGGGACTTGTTAAGCATGACAGCAGCAGGCAGGCAGGGCTGATTGGATCGAGCAGCATCCCAGCTCAATGACCGAATAGAAAACACTGAATCGTGCTTCACCTCCAAGTGGGCATTCACACAAACATTCAATTATAAGCACTGAGTAGTGCAGTGGGTTAGAACATTGCCCTTTCACCTGTGGGAGTTTGAAAACAGTTTGGCTAAACAGATGAAGTTTTGCTTTGTTTGGTGGTTGCAAAGTTTCCAAGTGATACGAGTTTAGATGGTCCTAATGTAATTTTAAGTGAGCATTGACCTAAAGCACAAATTTGCTGACAGTTACAAAAACAACTTGTACTTGCATAATAATAATAATCCTTGCATTTGATATAGCGCCTTATGACATCATTGAAACTTCTCAAAGCTCTTCACAGAATATCACTGTAAAGTGAATCAACTGTATATTTTGTGGGTGAAATAGCATCTTCCAGGTAGGATTTCATCTCAAATTAGAGATGGAATGAGATTCGAGTAAGGTAGGAAATTGTGTCCAGAGTAGGAAGGAGTTGACTGAAGGCTCAATTGACGAGAAATCTTTTTTGAAGGGTTTAGAAAGGAGAGGCAAGGGGTAGGGGATTTGCATTGAGAGTTCCAAAGAGCGGGTTAGTGACTGGTTGCGCAGTAGCACACAACCTATTTGAAAGTAAACTAAGTTCGTTTGGAAGCAGTGAATGCATTCCTCTGAAGCTAAGGAAAACTGGTTCAGAGTAATGTATAGCAAACCATGTTGGAACAATGTATAGAGAGTCTTTCTGTGAACCCGGCTGGGATAAGCTTAAAAGATTGCTTGATGATGGCATTGGATGCTCACGGTAGAAAAGTGTTCCATTCACACAGCAATGATATCCTTATTAGTACACTGTTAAAACAAGAGAAGATATTGACTCAGAAATCTGCAGTATTGGGCTCTCCATGACTTGATAAATTACGAGTTATACGATGAGTTTCTTGGTTTCAATGGCTCAGTGTTGCTTGAGTGGTATTCTGTTTAGTTTGTTTAAAACTCCATCCACATAATAATAATAATAACCATAAGCCTTATATTTGATATAGTGGCTTATCATGTCTTTGGGACGTCTCAATGAGCTTTACAGAATATACGGTAAAGTGAATTAACTGTATATTTTGTGGGCAAAATGCAGCAGCCAATTGTGCACAGCAGTGTCCCACAGACAGTCATGGATTGAATGACCAAATTTATGGACCATGTCCTTAAACCATATCTGATGTTGCGGAGGAGCTTCTTCATTCTGCCAATTAAAAGAGGACACATGATCTCCTTGGGAGGGAAAACCAAAGTAAATGTATCATTAACCAAGAAAGAAACCCAATTAAACTCTTTCAAGTTGACTTTTTCCTCTGAAATGTATCCCTCAGCTAACTTTGTTTTCAAAGAGAGCAGTTTTTCTTAACAACTCACAAATGTACAGTAATACAGTAGGCTTCAGAGTCTGGCTTTCCGCAAGGGCCACCATCCAAATTGTTGGAGTAAAACCACAAAACACAGCAAGTCAATGGGAACAGTTTAAATTGGTCAGGCAAATACCTCAACATGTTAATGTTAACTTTCACCCCTCCTCAGACACATCTGCTGTGCACTCCCTGTAACTCTTGGTCTCACGTTAAATTGGGTGATGTTGAAGTTAAGGTGGAAGATGGAAAAACTCATGAAAAAGGTAACCTGTCGCAGGTGAAGTGTATTTAGAAATTCATAGGAGCAGCGGAGGATGTCAAGGCCAGAGCAGTTAGTTTGAAAGTGAGTGGCAGAGCAGAAACTAGGATGGAGTTGCTTATAGAAACAGAAATATTAGCAAAGCAGTTTCCCAATCTGTGCTTGTTATATTACTGCAAACTGGAACACAAGCTCTTAAAAATCAATGGATTGTCATGTTAGACCGTATTTTAGCTTAAAGTACAAGAATGCCATTGCTTTCAACAACAATGACCCTTTAGCATGCGGCTTTAACTGAGTAAATTATTTTCAAAAGATTTTAATTCAGTGAATGGAGTTTAAAAGAAAACGATTGCTTGTCTAATCAGTAATTTTTTTATTGTTATATTTTACTGCAGTTACAAACAGGTCCTTTGAACTGCTTGGCGTCACAGAGGAGCTGGATAAAATGAATGGAACCATTGAGAACACTAAAACATACACGGACACACTGCAGATAACCGTACCGAATCTAGCGGAGAAACGGATCCAGGTGGAGAAATGGGTAGAAGCGGAGAAACAGATGGACGAAGAGGAACGAATGGAGAAGGAGGAAAGGATAAAGGAGGAAAAACGCATAGAGGCGGATAGAAGGATGGAGGAGGAGAACAGGATGCAGGAGGAGAAAAAGATACAGGAGGAGAAAAAGATACAGGAGGAGAAAAAGATACAGGAGGAGAAAAAGATACAGGAAGAGAAAAAGATACAGGAGGAGAAAAGGATGGAAGAGAAAAGGATGGAAGAGGAGAAAAAGATGGAGGAGAAGAAAAGGAGGGAACAGGAAAGGATGGAGGAGGAGAAAAAGATGGAGGAGAAGAAAAGGAGGGAACAGGAAAGGATAGAGGAGGAGAAAAAGATGGAGGAGAAGAAAAGGATGGAGCAGGAAAGGATGGAGGAGGAAAAAATGATGGCGGAAAAAAGGATGGAGGAGAAAAGGATGGAGGAAAAGAACAGGACGGAAGAAAAAAGGACGGAGGAGGAGAAACGTATAGAAGTTGAGAAACAGATGGAGAAAGAGGAAAGAATAGAGGAAGAGGAAAGAATGGAAATGGAAAAAACTAAAGACCCAGTGCAGAAATTGCTAAGCCAGCAGCACTCAAACATAAATAAAAGCAACATGGAGAAAACCACAGAGATGGACGAAAATGACAATAATAATGAGAAACAAACATTGGAGGCAGAGCTCCAGAAATGCATCGAAGATCTGAAAAACTTTAAAATACCCCCAAAGTTTGCAAAGAAGCAAAGGCACTGGCAAAATGAATTGCTGAAGAAATACAACATGTGAGTCTCTCAGAGAACAGCCAGTAGCATAATAACCTAAAAAGTGTAAATCATTTATACGGACAGACTCTATGGGTCCTGTTGGTAAGCGAAAGGTGGTAATCTGGACATCACAACTATGGAATAGAAACCGTCTTTCAGAGTGTCTGGACACTTTATATTGGCATTCATTGGGAAAAATGGGCAACTGTTTTAATATTTCAAAGTGCTCAACACTTCTTTCAAAAAATACTACACACTTTGATGTATACTGAACTTTACATTAGATCCAGGTAGTCTGCACTTTCAGCTATTCCTCACAAGTACTCCCAGTTTAACTCTTTAACTTCTTTAATGACACAGATTTTGGATGAACGAACTACTTGACAATCAGCTGTACTGTTAAAAACAGTTGTAAAGTCCGCAAGCTGAGGAGTGCGGCTTGACTCTCAAAATTCAGTTGAATATTTTGAAGTGTACAGCATACACCGGCGGGAAATGGACATTTACAGTTTCCCCCAGAACAAATGATACACACTGACACAATAGGGTATGATTCGCGGCTTGTGTTAACTGACAAGGAACGGGATAAGAAACACTATAACTGTTACTCCTAAGTACTTACAGAGTTACTGTAGTTTTTTCACAGAGTAAAATCTCGCAACTGTGTATTGTGTAGCCAATGTGGCAGTCAATTTGCGCACAGCAATGTCACCCAAACAGCCATGTACCAACTTGTTATTTGGAGATTGTTGACCAGAACTTTGGGAGAAACTCCCTTCTCTTTTGGAGTAACAATGCATTGGAGTGAGTGTCAGCATAGACTATGCAAAAGTACTACCAACTGAGCCAGGCTGAGGCCGAACTGTTACCAGCAACAAAACATGAAAGCCTGAAAATTTATTTGAACAATCTTAGAGCATCTGACTGCTCATCGTACTGCAAAATCTCATCAGAGAGTCAGTTGTTGAACCTGGGACTTAGGAAGAGGAGTAATCCTCAAATAAAGATCAGAGAATTCATATGTGAATCCTGAATGCTCATCCATAGGAATCTTATCACAGGTTGCATTCAAACAATGTGTTTCATGAACTGTTCATTCAACTCAGCGACTGTATGGCTGGACTCTTCTTTGAAGGTACAACATTGATGTTTGAATGTTTGATATGTTATGGAATGGGTTTCTGACAACTCTTATATTCAGTGTTAATTTTGTAGCTGGTTTTCTGTAGGCTCTTTTAAGAATAAACAAGTCTAAGTCTGGACCCTGGTATAATTTCTCTCCTGAAATACCTTCCTTCAAAGAGGAGCACTCAAGTCTTTCAAATCGCTGAATGGTTTGGTCAAGATTATACCAACTTTACTTAATGGTAAATTAGTCACATTCTCTCTTTGCGGCAGCACATTTCTATCATAACCTAATCAATTGTAGTATTCTGCATATGTATATTATAATGAGAGAATTTAAAAAGATCACATCATGTTCATTTACCAGATACAATGTTATATGAAAACATACAATTAATTTGTCTCACAATAGAGATAGAGTTGCTAATGTAGAGTCTTATAACTTGTAAGTTTTGTACCTGCTGTTGCAAAGGCACTGTTCGGACTGTTACTTTAGCTTTGATTGCATTGCAGGCTGCTTTAGCAGAAGACTTGTGCGAATGTTATACTGAGCAAATCGATATAAAACGACCTCTCCGAAATTGAAAACAGGAAATTATTAGTCATGAAAGGCATAAAAGATTAGGGTGACCTTTTGCTGAATGACACGTCAGCAGTCTATGGAGGCAGCTTTTGTCTTTGTGATTCAATGTATTTGTGCTGAGAAGCTATTGTAAAGGGATACTATGACCGGATGTCGCTACAGACAGATTGTTATTCACTATTATTGAGGAATTCAGATATTTGGGCAGTTTAACTCATCCGGTTTCTGTTTTTTACAGTCAAAGAAGAAATTAAAAGTAATTATAGATACATTGTTCTTGAGTGTTTCTGAAAAAAACCCACATGTAATATTAAGATATTTCTAGATTGTGGGGTCAATTTTATAATAATCCTAGTATTTGCTATAGTGCCTTTATTATTTATTATTAAAGTAACAATCCAGTTTCTTGTGACTTTATAATGAGAAATCCCATTCTAAACTCATGGAGATAAACTTCACCGTCTCTTGCAGCAAAGTACTCACATGAAGCTGCTTGTAAGGCGGAATAGTGCAGGAGTAAGTAAATCTAGGCATTGCAATGTCTTCACTAATCTATTAGGCAATCATTTCCATTGTCACCAATCCATCAATAAATAAAATAATAATCATCTTTGCATTTGATATAGATCCTTATGTCTAACATTTGGAATGCCCTGGGGCGGATAAAGCAGAATACGTATTAGCTTTCAAGAGGGAATGAGGTAGATATCTAGAGAGGAATAATTTGCAGGGGGAAAAGGCAGGTAAATGCGACTGAATGGATTGTTCTTTCAAAGAGCCAGGATGGATTCAATGGCTGAATGATCTTTTTCTGTTCTGGAAATCTCTATGATTCCAAATATGAACTAATTGATTCCTCGTTCAGGGTTCTGCCTCATTACATAAGGATGACTTCAACTTACTAATCAGATTTGCAAACTGACAGCGCAACAATGCGGTTCCATGTTCTAAGATCTTAAGACTTTCATCTAATGTGTGAAATGTTTTCAGTAACTTACTGAAGGAGGTCAATTAATCTGAAAGGGATCATAAAATTAGTTTATTCATCTCATTCAAGCGACCAAGTACACTTGAAAAATACTATACATTGTAAGATTTAAAACCAGTTGAAACACGATTAAGTCCCTGCTGCAAGACTAAGCAATGCAACCCCAATCTTAAATCAGTGACCTGCAAGTAATTTAAATATTAACGACTGTTCTAATGGAACTTAACAAAACTCCTGAAACAGGTTGGTGGAAAAAACTGAGCATATAGCAAGAGTTTCTCAGTGGATTGGTAACTGCTGCTTTGTTTAGCATGAATGGAAAGGCAGCCTGGCTTAGTTGGTAACACTCTTGCCTCTGAGTCAGAAGATTTTAGGTTCAAGCCTCATGTCAGGGCTTTGAATTCCTATCATCTAGGCTGACACTCTAATACATTGCTGGGAGTTTGCTGCATGGTTGGAGGAGCTGTCCATCAGATGAGATGTTAAACCAAGGTCCCATTTGTCCGTTCAGGTGGATTTTAAGATCCCATTGGCATTATTTGAAAAAACTAAGATCAAATAGGCTGAAAGGGCTTCTTCAAGGTCACCTCACATCGTGATCAGATCAGGAACTCAGAAAAGCTTTTCTACCAGACTACGGCACTACCTCACCCCTCACGCTGCTGAAACTCTGGTCCACGCCTTTATCACCTCAAGGCTGGACTATGGGAACTCTCTCCTCGCCGGCCTTCCCGGCACCTCCCTCCACACTGCAGGTCATTCAGAACTCTGCAGCTCGTGTACTGTCCCGCACCAGGCTTCGGGACCACATCACTCCCACCCTCGCTCGCCTCCACTGGCTCCCCATCCCCCAGAGGATCGAATTCAAGATCCTCATCCTCACCTACAAGGCCATTCACGGCCTCGCTCCCTCCTACCTCTCCGACCTACTATCCCCCTACCTACCTGCCCGTACCCTCCGTTCCTCTGGCTCCGGTCTGCTCCACATCCCCCGCCCCAACCGCCCTACCATCGGTGGCCGGGCCTTCAGCCTCTCAGCCCCGAGGCTCTGGAACTCTATACTCCCAGTGCCTTCGCCGCTTCCTCCCTTTCCTCCTTCAAGGCCGGTCTCAAGACCTTTCTCTTTGACCGTGCCTTCAGCTCCCCTCTCGACTCTCTACCCCCTCCTCACCCCCTCCCTTCCCTCCCCTCACCCTGACCATTTCCCCCTTGCTCAGGTCCTGACCCAACTATACAGTGCCTTGGGATGTCCTCCTGACGTGAAAGGCGCTCTGTTAATGGAATGTGGTTGTTGTACCATAAACTTAAGCACACCTCTGTCGCTTAGGATAAACATAAATCATATTTTAACTAAGAGATAATCAAACTCCAGAGTATTTGTCTATCTGCACAGCTCAACTATTTAAAAAAATTAAATGGATTTTTATTTCACCTGTTTGGGGCGTGGAATAAAACAGACTTGGTCACTCGTGGCCACGCTCACTTTGGAAGAAAACATTTATCAGATTCTTCTGCATTGTGTTTTTGTCTGTATTGTCTTTTTTCATGACTTTGGTGAATAACAAGTTAACCTGGACTAATCTCAAATTGTCTGGTGTAAAAAGTGATACAGGGCAGCAAGAGGTATTTCATTTCTGGAAAATGATGAATATGTTCCTGCAGGCTGACATGCCACATTTTAATATTACACAAGTTGGCTTGATAAATGGTGTATATCTTAAGTCTTCATTAATCCTCTTTCTATTCAGCATCCTTGTCTCATGTGGGAAGAAACTCATTATAAGCAAGTATGAGTTCTGCTTTGTGGATCCATTGTATGATGGCCAACGTACAGAACTTCTGGTAATATTTCGAACCACAATTGACAGTCAAAAAAAATGCAAGTAGTTTATCAGCATTGCATCAACCCTATGTCTTACTCTTTTGAATAGCGTTTGTATGCCTTTTATTTTATAACAGAAATATTTGCAACATTTTACAACACAACTTAATAATAACAATAATGAAAATTATCCTTGGATTTCATACAGCACCTTATAACATTAAAACATCTCAAAGCACTTCACAGAGTTTTTCTTAGTCTGTAGTAACTGTATTTGTTGAAATTAATGATCAATTTATCCAGAGGATTGTTAGTCAGGACATAATAATAATAATAATAATCCTTGGATTTGATATAGCGCTTTTCACGTCGGGAGGACGTCCCAAAGCGCTTCACAGAACACACTGTAAAGTGAATTGACTGTATATTTGTGGGGGAACGCGGCAGCCAATTGCGCACAGCAATGTCCCACAAACAGTCATGGATTGAAAATGACCAATTTATTATTGTTTTTGGTTTTGGAGGGATTATTATTAGGCTCTGTGTGGAGTAAGGAAACTTGCCCAAGGTTTCGCCCTCTGCCGGGAATTGAACTCAGGTCTCTCACTTGCAAAGCGAGTGCTCTAACCACTGAGCTACAGGTCTCCACGAATGATGGCACCTCTGACAATGCAGTGCTCGCTAGCCCAGCACTGCACTGTGAGCGTCAGCCTAGACTCTAAACCAGCAATCTTCTGACCCACAGGTGAGAAACGTGCCAACCGAGCCAAGTTGTTGTAGACAACTAAAAAAAATTACATTCAAACGGCGCCTTTCGTGTCGAGAGGTCGTGCCAAGCAGATATTCCCTGCACAGAACTGGCCACAGCACGCGTGTAAACCACACAGGATCAGACATGAAGGGTCAGCTCTCACTTGCCAAGAGCAGTTAGCATCAGACTCCCAAATTCCATCGAGGACCAGGACATCAGGAGAAACCACAACATTTTCCATTAATAGTCATGTACTTTTTTTTAATGCTTATTTTTCTCTTATATCCAGTGGAGATGCTCTCCAACCACAAGCTTCCTCACGTACAAGGTCAAACTGAGCTTGAGCACCAACATTGCCATCAGATTAAAGTGCAAACTAGCTCCTGGTCAAAATAAGCCACCATTGCATCCAGGAGATATCTAATCTGCT